TACTCAAGCACACCATATGACATTTTAGGTGAAATATTCAAATTAAAACTATAAATTATTACACCCATATTATTACCCTACCAACCACACTCAAGCAGGCATTACTTCTGCCAGACCCTGTATATTACCTTAAATAGGTCACAAGTCTGACACAAGTCTTAAAAGGCTAAAATCATAAAAGGTGCCAGCAGGGCTGCGTTCCGTATCCTTGTCTTTTCCAGCTTCTACAGACTGCTTTCACTCCTCGTTTGTGGTCCCCCTTGTCATTTTCAAAGCCACCATTGTAGTATCTGTCTGACTCTCCTTCCACTGGCACATTTCTTTCTCAGACTACAACCAGTAAAGGTTTTTCACTTTTAAGGACTTACCTGTAATCATATCTGCAGCCTCTTCTGCCACATACGGTAACATATTTACAGGTTCTGAGAGGAGAGGGAGGTCATTCTATCTACCACATGGTCCCAGTTAGAAATCTCATCATTTCTCCCTCTAGATGCCTTAACTTCTAGCCTTTATCCTTTCATGTTATGGGGATTACTTGCCACTTCACACAAGTGACCCTGCATTGGAATGAGTACTAATCATTATAGCAAAGCCAGAGGAGAGAAGATAATCCCTCAGTCCCTGGCTTTCCATTTATACTGTCATGTGCTTACTTTTGGTGATCTTCTTTTACCTCATCTTCTCTAAATTAGGGGATTGATAATGGGCTGTGTAAAGAATTTCTTTATTGTCTGATACACGATGCCTTAGAAAAGAGAATGGAGACTTTCTTCAGTTTAATTGTATATGCATAAGTATAAGGGGCTTTTTGAAGTTTGTGATATAGTTTAGAAATGCCATTATATAAACCCAAATAGAAAACATATACATGAGGTGGAAACCTTTTGGAAGGTAGAATAATTTTACCTTAATAAGTTTGAAATGAATGGTTCTCAATATGTGTTTCAGGGACCAAGCACTTCAGAATTGCCCAGGGTGTGTGTTAAGAATGTCAAATCCTGGCCCTCACTCCAGACTTCCTGAATCACAGTCAAACTTAATCATTTTTATTTCCACCACTTTTAATATTTGTGCCTACTTATATGTATGCTGACTTTAAAAAAATAAATTTATTGGGGTAACAATGGTTAGTAGGATTACATAGGTTTCTTTTTCTTTTTTTTTAAGTATTCAGTTTGTTGAGTTTTAGCAATGTATACATCAATGAAACACCAGACAATTGATATATAGCATATTTTCATAAAATAATTTTTTCAGTATCTCATCTATTCAAAAACTATTTGATTTTTCCTTTTATTGACTTGTAGAGGTTCTTTATATATTCTGGCTATTAGTCTCTTGTTAGAAATATTTATTTTGAATATCTCCTCTAGTCTTTGGCTTATTTAAAAAAATTAATACTATCTTTGGAATAGAAATTTATAATTTTGTTGAGATCTTATTTATCACATTTTTTATTGTTGTTCAAGTGTAGTTTTCTTCCTTTCCCCCCTACCTTTCCCCACCACCCCAGCTCTCCCTGCCTCCCTCTCCTGTTCCCCCCTCCTTGTTATTGTCCTTGTGTCCTTTATAATTGGATCACATAGGTTTCAAGTTTACATTTCTATGATACAGAAGTGCTCACCACTCAAAGTCAAATCATCTTCTGTCACCATATATTTCCATTTTAACTACTGTTTTAGACTCTTGACTAAATGCTGGCAGTTTACATAATATTATTGATAATGTGAGCAAAACGTATTATTATTGCTTTATGGAATGTTGTTTTTTCCATTTGAAAGTAATGAGGCAATAACAGCAAAGAAAATGATTATCTGTATATTATAAATACAATTTTCAAATAAATGCTAAAATGGGGAATAGTCATAACATGACAGGTAAAGGTTTATAATGTTCTCAATATCAGAGAATACTTTCAATTCAACAAGAAAATGTCGAATGTGCCATATACAAATTTCCCAATGGCACATGGACACATAATTTACAACTGAAGAAGTGAAAATGGTCAATAAACTGATGAAAACATGTTTAACAACATTAGAAAAGAAATACAAATGAGAGCTATTCAACAATATCATATGTAAATAGTATATTTGTGTGTATATTATTTATTGTACATTTATTGTATATATTTATGTGTATATTTCATATATGCACATGTATATACGGCAAAATAACACTTTTACTTGAGGTTGCAATAAAATAGACATACTTATTATATGTCATCGGGGGAACATTAGTTTGTTCACCCTCTTTGAGGGCAGAATTCTAACGTAGATCACCACTTTAGAGAATGTTCATGTATTGATTGACATGACAGACTTTCACAGTACAGTCCTCTGTGAAAGGGGTTATGAAACAGTGCATGATATTGTCTCAGATTTGCACGGGTAATGTTATACATGCATAGATATAAAGAAAAGGACCTAGAAGAATATGTATCAAGCTGATAGTGGTGGGTAGTTCTGAATGGGTAGACATTATTAGTATTCTTTGTTTTTTGTTTTACTTTTCTGTGCTCTTAAATTTTCTGATAAGAAATACTGTTTTTCTAATTATAAAAACTATTAAGAAAATAGTTTTTAATTCTCAAAAACTTCAGGTTAGGAAGATAGCAATGTGAGAGATGACAACACCAAGGTGTGAGTTTATAATGATTACTATTACTAATGATTGCTATTATTATGATGATGATGATTACTAATATTACTATCACTAAATAAATGAATGCTTCAAATAAAAATTCCCAAGGTTCCAGAATTGAGATAGTGCTAATAAATAAGATAATTAACTTTGCCAATATATACCTTCCTTCCTTATCTTCTTTTTGGAACTCTCTTGTATTTCCATATGCTTTGTTTTTTACTATTCTGATCTTTTTCTTTATCTCATGCTCTAAGTCTCTATAAGTCTTCAGCAATGCCACCTGCATTGCATGTGACATCTCTTGCTAAAGAAGGGCTAACCTTTTTTAAGTGCTTGCTTAATGTCAAATCTTTCACATATTTCAAAAAAAGATCTATTCAATGTTTAATTTTGACCACAAGAAACTTTTAATGTGATAAATTAACATCACTTCTGGGCCAGGTGACTTGGTCTATCGAGCCATTATCAATAATATGTCATTTTGCTTTTTGTAGATATTTTTGGTTAGGTCTCCAAGAATGCATTCATCACGCAAGCCCTAGTTGTCATGAAATTTAAAAAAATAGTAAATGATGACAGAGACATTATGATTGGAAAGTTTTATAACTTCATGATTTAATTCAAAAGCTTTGTCTTGTTCCTAAGTCTTTGGAATGACTCTTCAATGTAGTTAGTCTTTTTATGATACATACTTTAACTATTAGCATGGGAAAGAATGAGAAAAAAGAGAAAGGGAAACATGTCACATCTTTTCTCAATTGTGTTATTTTTCTAATTCACATTGTAGAAATCCAAATACATCCCAGGCATGGAGAAAGTATTTTAATTCTGGCAGCCACTAGTAGTTTACTGGCAATCCAGCCTCAGCTGTTACAGAAGCCTGCCTGTAGATTGTTCAATGTTTTTAAGCCTTGAGGCACAGCTGGACTTTACAATAGCACTCAGTTTCAGATTTTACATTTTATCTGAAATGCATTTATATAATTAAATATTGTTAACTTCCAGCTAGCCAGAAAGCCTTAATTCATTGTTGTGCAGTACATTAAAATAATGCAGGATGAACAAATAATGCAGTGGCCAAACCAAGACACTTTCACAATGAAAGAGGATGCTATTAGTAATTACACTGGACAACAGATGTGAACCATGCTATAATTTCTGTTGGCTTTAAGAAAATCCTATGGAGTTTGTGTTTGGGAATTCTGTTATAAATCAACTTGTATATTTTATTTCATTTTTTAATTGTTCATTGGTAGCATATAGAGATACACTCCGTTTGTGTATATTGACCTTATATTCTGTGATCACGTTAAAGTCACAATTTTTCCTAGTGGATTTTTGTTGTAGTTTCTTGTATATTTTCTGTATACTTGATCATGTGTATACAAATAAAAACAGTTTACTTCTTTCTTTTCAGTCTGTATTCCTCTTTTTTTTTCTTGCCTAATTGTAAAGGCTGGAAGTGGTGAGAGTAAATATCTTTGTCTTATTTCCAGTTTTAGGGAAATTGCATTCAATCTTTTCCTGTTAAATATGGTGGGGTGGGCGAGAGTAATGGGTGGTGGGGGGGAGTGGCAACAACTGTAGTTGAGCAACAATAAAAAGGTAAATGGCCTTGGGAAAAAATGTGTTGTTAACTGTGAGTTTTTTACAGATACCTTTTTTTAGGTTGAGGAAGTTGCTTTCTGTTCCTGGTTTACTGAGAACTTTTGTTGTAAATGGGTACGTTTTACTGTATATAAATTATACCTCAATTAAAACTGATTTAATAAAAAACAGTAATATTACATATACTAAAACTTGAACAGAACAATGGTGTCTCACATATACCATTTTTTTGGTAAAAACTAACAAAGTTTAAGAAAAACTTTAGTCAAGACTGAAAAACTTATTTTTAACATTGGTCAACTATAATATTAAAGGTGTACTCAGATGTTGGAGGAATATTTTGCTTTCAGAAACAGGAAAAAAACAAAAATTGATAACTTTTTATTTTCTAAGCTAGTGTCGTACTTCAGGACTCTATTATTTTTCTATGTGATAAACTTTGTCTGTGAAACTTGAATTGAACTTTTCAAATTGCACCACTGAGAGACTTTAGTTCCTTTTATTCCCTCTAGAAGAAGGCACAATGTTTTTAAAGTTTATTAATTATTTTTCTTATTTGGCATATAAATTCTGTAGATATATTGTGTATGGCACTAAATATTAACTCTGAAGGTTGCTTCTTAACCAGTTTTGTAAGATTTTATTTCCATTTCTCTCCTTATTATACAGATGAGGAAACTGAGGCGTAGAACTTGCCTTCAGTTATTTTTATATCTCTGGTAACTTTTTTATTTTTTAAATAGGAGTTACTTAAAGATCCGCTGTACATCGGACTACGGCAGAGAAGGGTGAGAGGTCCCGAATATGATGACTTTTTGGATGAATTCATGGAGGCAGTTTCTTCCAAGTATGTATAACATTTACTTATTTTATATTTGAATTAAATTTCAAAAATTTAAAGATAACCTGCCCTGACCAGGGGGGCCCAGTTGGTTGGGCATTGTTCCACAATGTGAAAGATTGCTAGTTTGGTTTCCAGTCAGGACATATGCATGGGTTGTGGGTTCGGTCCCCGGTCCAGACTTGTGCAAGAGGCAACAATTGTTTTTCTCTCACATTGGTTTTTTCTCCCCCTCTTTCTCCCTCGCTTCTCCTCTCTTTAAAAATAAATAATAAAATCTTTAAAAAAATTAATATAATAAAGTATAAAAATTTCTAAGATTTGTGCTGTATATTTAATAATTAGAAGTGATTTGAATAAAATACACATCCTCATAGCTATTAGTTGCCACATGATGACTTCATGTATTTATCCACTAAAAATTTGTCTCTGTTGTTATTCCTGAAGATACTTTTCTCTCACAGTTCTTGGTAGTCTATACTTTGTTTCTGGCTGCTGATCATCTTTTTTGGTATATCTGACCCTTTTGTGGTAGGAAAAGCCGAGGAAAAGCCGAGGAAGAAGGAGCTCAAATTAGCACAGTGCACGAGTTCCAGAATGGAGCCAGAACCAGCACATTCATTCACAATCCATGAACCTCTGAACAAAAACACAGTATTAGATTAAAATGCAGTACTATATTTCACCTAGTCTAGGTAGTATTGAACTGTGGGCCAAGTGCTACTGTAAAATTTTCCAGTTTCCTTCTTTTAAAGAAGATACTTCTACCATAATTTGGGAATACATTCTGGGAGAGTTCTATCCCACTGACAGTCACCCATTTGTTACTGTGCAGCCACAGGAACCATGTACTATATAAAAACAGATATGTTGCCCTGGTTTTTCTTAGAAATAAATGCATCACTAGAGTCAATTGTAACTAGAGACAGACTTCTGGTTTCTTTTTATAATGAGGTTTAACTTTAAGAAGTTGTATCCAATAGCAGAAGGTACTTTAATCAGTTTGCACAATATTTGGAATAAATTGAATCTTTCACTACCCAAGGTTTTAATGCAGAGTATTTTGGCCACTTAGTATGGACCACTTTTGAGAAATCCATGCCTGATTTATTATCATTATTATTTATTAACTTATTTAATTAAACTGTAACTTATAGAAATAGTTGAGAAGGTCTGCAGTTTAATATTGTTTAGTACAGTTCAATACTAGTTTTTCATATTAAATTTTAAATTCCTTACTCTAAAACTTATATAAGTTCTTGAAATTATAACTTTTTAGGTAGCAACATTAATCAAGAGATTTGTAGAGAATCCATGAGGCTATATAAAAGGAGAATGAAATTCTCTATGTATTTGTTTTTATTATGTGAATAAAGTCTAACTTTATATAGACAACTTCAATATATTTATAAAGAATCTGTTAAATAAGTTATGAACATAATTTATAAGGCCTATATACTTAAATGCTGTTGAAATAAGAAAAAATAGTGTCATTTGGAATCAATGAAAAGGATTCTGGAGAAAATGAGATGTTTTAATCTAAAATCAGAAAACTACTTTTTAAAAATGGTGAATTGAGGGTTATCTAATATTTTTGATAAGAAAATGGGCATTGACAAGAGTCAACAATAATTTTACATGTAGAGAGTGCCTATGAATCAGAACTTCCAGCCTCTTTCCAGAGGAAAATCCCAGAGGTTTTTCACAAATACTTCTTCATATGGCACTGCTTTGGGAAAAGTTTTTCGAAAGTGAAACCAGCACTTCCCAGTTATATTGGAAAGTAGTCCTGAAGATAAGCCCAAAATAATTTGGGCTTATCTTCAGGGCTACTTCAGCCCAGATGTAACTCAGATTCAAGGTGGAAAATTATTGTTGCAAGTTGGTTCACCTAGGAATCAGATTCTTAGGAGTTATTAAAGAGTGTTCTTGGAATCAACCCCTGCGGAAGGGAGGGGACAGAGACCCGAGTGGACAAGAGTCAAGCTGCAGCATGGAGTCACCATCAGCCTTGGATAACTTCATTGGGAACACCCTGCATGCCCTTTAGTTCCTTAGAGGAACACTAATTTCTGCCAGTGTCCCACCCTTCCACCCCAAACAATACTATGTGGGTTTTTTTTATTTACTATCTTGTCAGGGTTGAGGTGGGGCAGTTTCAAATTCTTCCTTTTGGCTTTCTCTATATTATAGCTCTTATTCATAGGCCAAAGATGTGATATATCAAGTATGTCTATTCTGATTATATATTTGGGGACTTAGGAAATCACCACCAAGTGGGTCTGTGGTCCCAGTGGACCCATTCATGTGATAGAGCTTCACTTATTACTGGCCTCCATGTGCTTCTAACAAGAAGGGACAGCATCTCGATGCTTCAGGTCTCCTGGTGTCACTGTCAACTCTGCGCCCTCTCAGTGTCCGGGTGTTCCCATGTCCAAGATTGGACCCCTGACCTGCCCCCGCTGCCAGCCCTGCTCTGCTGCAGTGTTTCTCGTCTCAGCAAACAACAGCCGCCTTCTTCCTGTTCCCGAGACTAACAACACTGGAGTTATCACTCCAGACCCATTCTGCCTGCAAAGCTCCTTAGCCTTAACTTCAAGAATCTAACCATTTCTCATTGCCCATACTGTTATTTCCCTTATTTGAACCTCTTTTCCCTAACTGTAATAATCTCACTAGTCTGACTGCCTCCCGCCTTGGTATGCTTTGGCCCATTTTCAACACAAAAGGTAGAATGATTCTGTTAAGTAATTTCTCAGCTCACAACCCTACAATGGCTTATCGTTTTATTCAGAATAAAAATAAGTCCTTGCAATAGCATGAAAGGCCCTGGACCATCTGACTCCCTGTTACCTTTCTCACCTTACCTCCTACAAGTTCATCCCCTTGCTTACTTTGTTCTAGCCACACTGGCCTGTTCGCTCTTTTTCGAGTTCAAGCCAGACATGCTAATGCCTCAAGGTTTATCATTCCTTCTACTTAGAATGTCCCCCATCCTCTGCCCAGTCTTCCACATGGCTAAGAGAGAAGCTGTCTCTTCTCCTTTAAAATTTCCTCAAGTATCACTTTCTCAGTGAGACCTTCCTGGATAAACCTATACAGTAAAATTTTACCCCCAACTCATTTTTCTCTTCATTTATGAATATCTGACATATTTATATTAATTAATTTATTTATGTTCTGTCTACATTCATGTACTGTAAATTCCCTGAAAGCAGGGAATTTTTTCTTTTCTTCACTGCCATATCCTTGGTTTTAAAAATATTATCTAGTATGTGATAAATACCCAGTAAATATTTGTTAGATGAATGAGTGAACTTGATTTGTTTTACTTACATATTTTAAAATGATAGGTATGAATGAAAGAACTCTGGTATTTTAAAGAATTTCTCCTTTTTGTGTGATTTAACGTCAGGAAATATCAAAGCTCTTACAGTCCTTACAAACTGCCAAGTGTATGTTAAAGTCCCCATATGTATGTACTTCTTAAATACTTGTGTTCATTTTTATGGTTGTTCTTCCTATAGTAGCTTTCCTTTTTCTAGAACCAGTTGCCCCTGAAAGTTAATAAGTGACAGCTCAGCTTTGCTGCTTAAAATTCTTTATATCAGAATTTTATTAATTAATTTATTAACTAAATGAGGGGAAAAAAACTGTACCTTAAGTGAGCTTTAAAAAGCTACTATAAAATTTTTTAATGAAAAGTAAAAGCATTCAGCAAGGACTATATATTTTTTCCTTTTCCACTTTAAATTTACAAGCACTGGGAATGGCCACAAAGATGATTATTGTAATATTTAGACAACCTCCTTTAACCTTGACCACCATCTCAAATTTTATTATGACCTCTCACATAACATTTGAGAGAAATAATCTTAGTCTGAAGCCATACTATTTGCCATATGCTGCAAGGTGGGATGATGTTGGCATAATATGGTACTCCCATCACTGGTTCATTATTGAACTAAAGCTTCAGCTGTCTGATCAAGATGGAGCAGACTGTTCAAAGATGCTATTAATTTTGTCAAAGTTCTTAAAGGTTACATCAGATTTTAAAGGAACAAGAGAGAGCCTGTTTATGATGACCAGATTTGCTAAATTTATTAATTATTATTACTATTAATATAGTAATAATTTCTAAGGAAGTCATCAGGTATATAGGTTTATGTGCTGTCTACCCTTACACAGGGTTGCAGTTAAAGTTTCTCCACTGCGGCGTCCCCATGGGAATGGTCTCATTACTGCCCCATTATCCTTCTTCCTGCCACTACCGCTGCGGTTAATTCCATGGCTGACTCTCTGCGCTGCCCCCTCCACCTCTTCCAGTCATTGCCTTGTATGCCCAGTTCTTTCGTTAGATGAATGCATATATTTATAACTTAGATGGTTTTATATGTAAATCTGTGAAGCATTTTGCATTTTACCTGTCACTTTAATCATCATGCTTTGGTTTTTAGAAGAAATTTAATGAAAACATATGACTCTATGGGACAGCCCCTCTATTCTTCCCTATGTCTAAAGGTGATGTAAATTATTTAAAAACAAAATCAAATGGAAAGAATGTCTGTCAATGTGAGAAAAATCAGCAATCATGTTGCTAAGGAACATGACTCAAATCACATTTATGACTCACAGTTTTTTCCATTTTTCCATCCAAAGAAAGATCTGATTCACAATTTAACTATAGCCACATTTTTTTCAGAATGCCAACTATTTCTATTTATGTCTTTTCTTTTTTGCTTTTTATTCAAGTGAATGAAAAAACAGGTCATATAATAATTAGAAATCCACATGAGTGCATTATATGTATATTTTTGTAAATATATATACATTTATATTTTCTAAAGTATTGAAGGTGGATACATACTTAAGCATTTTGATGCTATTTTTGCATCTTTGCCTACAACTTAGCCCAGCTGTGGGTGTGCCAATTGACTTGGAGGAACAAGTCAAATATACGGTTTCTTTCTGAACATGGTTTACAGTTCTTTCTTTTTAGATGCTTT